AAAGTAAAACCCCTTATTTCCGAAAATCTAAGAAAATAATAAGAGAGGCAATTCCAAACATGCCCCAATTCTCATCCCAAAGGACCAAGCAAGGAAAAAAGTTAGGTCCCCTTTGGGTGAGGCAAGCAAACAGTGTACAAGCAACATTTTCTTCGATGCCTTGCTGTTGAATCCGATTAATGCTATTTTGTTTCACGTGTATCACATTTGCAAGCGAAAATAGTTAGCAACTTTTTGTTTCATTTATCAATTGACAATTATATATGTTGCTTTAACTAGAATATTGTTGGGATTATGTCATTTTCCCCTCAAGTTTGGTGCTAGTTCGAGCTATATATTTCAGCAACTCCAGCTCAAAGATACCCATATATTGATGGAGGCAGTTAAATTCTATGTTCCATATATAAGATAATGACTGATACCCAAATCGCTTTCCTTCATGATATTATTATATATATCCAGAAATTCCATCTCAAAAGGATTCCATATACATGCTAGGGTTCTATATTCTATCTTCTTTTTAGCTAGGAATATTGTTTACTTTTTCCACAAGTTAATCAAACCATTCGGAATCCATACAGCTAGGGCTAGTCCATATCTTGCTCTTATGATTCTTTGTTGTCTGTATCATTCCCATGCATGCATGTGTTCGAGTTAACATGCATTATCACAAGGGGACGACTAAGAAAACGCGTCCACACTACAGATATGTCCCAAGGGAAAGCGAGGCACGTGAAAATTGTGTTGCTTTTTCCATGCATGATTCAAGACTAATTAGGTTCATTGTGTTACTATAGCTTCATTCAACTATGTACCCCTGTGGAGTTTATGGATTCGAATGTAGGTAAATGTATCATTAAGTATAATACATACATCGCTACTACTGTTGTACGGAAGCACACACAACAACAGGTTGCCAACGGGTCCCATACTCACAAGTCGAATTGCCAATATTCCTTCCACTTTAGCCATCCAGGAGCAACGGGTGTGGGATTTTTATCAAAAGGTCTCGGCAATATGTGTTTATGGAACCATTCTTTATAAGCCACTAGATGGCTCTCCTCATGGCCGATGTGGGACAAATTTGTGGCTCTAATCAAAAGCCACCAAAGCCCAACAAACTCCTCCTGAGTCATTTCGAAATTGACCTCCATCTCTAAATTGACGTCACAATCCAAATTCATACTCGTGTAAAATTTGTAACCTCAAGTATAGCTAAAGATGATTTATCCCCGCATCTAATGCTAAAGTTCAAGTCATGCCCTCTCCATTCTCAGGTCTCTTAGTTAATAGTCATGATGGAGCCACTCGGAACAATATTGCAACCAAATATCAACGTCATATTAACAACGTTATATTGACGCATAGGTCTCAAATATAGATGTATATATCAACAATCTCTACCAATTAAATATCCACTAAAAATAAACGTTGTTAACATAATGTTGATATTTGATTACAATATAATTGTTGACGTCAGTACCCAATACCGAGTCATCTTGCTGTGCAAGCAGGGAAAAGCCGCTTAGTTTATACCAAAAACGAAAAATTCATTGAAGTTGCATCAGTCATAACCGAGGACGAATGAATACTGCAATTGGGGTTGTCGTCTTGACTTGGACATGGTGACAGACGACGACTGAAGAAATCAATATCTAAACAAGGCCTCACAGTACTGATCGTCTTATCTCATGCATAATATTAATTAATTAATTCATTATAAAATGATAGCTAGCTAAATAAAGTTGTCTTGTATCACTTAGTACTACGGTCTAGTGGTATTCCTTTTCATTTGTAAGTAAGAGGTCTTAAATTTGATTCTCGCCAAAGGCGAATTTGAACCACATTATTGCTAGCCTATTGTGAGGCTAAACCCACTCCCTTCCTCTTAGTGTAGATATTATCGTTTGTTCAAAAATAAAATAAAATAAAGTTGTCTTGCGCTGCTAGTGGTGCATAAATATATATAAACATACATACATATATATAGAGTACAATCCTCTCCGGATCTCCAAAAACGGAGCTTAAGGATCAAATGATCCGAGGTGTTGAAATTTGATCCAACAGCTACAAACAGGGGTTCCTTCTAAAATTATAATAATTATAGCCGTTTGATCAAATTTCAATAGCCTAGATCATTTGATCTTTGAGCTCCATTTTTTAAGATTAGGAGAGGATCTGTACTCATATATATATATAACATTGATATTAACAACTCTGCAGTGGACTTGTTTTTGCTAGTAGATGGCTTTCGGTTCAAGTAAACCATATTGACAAGCAAAAAGAATATTTGTGACAGCCACACTAAGTCTAAAAGCATCTAATCTAATCCAAGAGCAAAAGATTAATTATTAGCGGAATTTTTCATCGATCAGTGATCACTATTTAACTTTTTCATACAAGTTTAAGTTCGAACTGTGTAAGTATTTTCATAACAAATTGGCATCTCTACCCCTATATATGTCGAGTTTACTTTTTGTCTCAAAAGGGTAGACGATTGTCATTTGTTGATATACACGACATACATAAATGGCCAACAATTATTTTCATGTGTCTGTGAATGACCAGTAATATATACCTATATGAATATACAAGCCCCTTATGCAAAGAAATTTCCATTTAAAAAAAAAAAAAAGGGATTAGGTATGGGCCCACAACACATCGAACTTTAACAATCTGAATAGTCTATTTTGTAAGTCTCGATTCATAAATCATGCTTACAAAAATTCAATTCAATCCGAATCCATTTGCCTATTTAATTATCAAGATAAAATTTCATTATTTCTTATATCACAAAATATTCGTTAATTTTTTTAAACTCAATTAGATGTTTTAAACATTTCCGATTTGGTTAATATTTTGCAAGGATAATCTATGAGGTGCAACTTGAAAAATAGATGGTTCGGATTGTTAAAGTTCGATATGGTGTGGACCCTACAACTAATCTCCATTTTTATATAAAAATAATAATAATAATAATAATAATAATAATAATAATAAGGATCCGTTCTCTTTAAAGGTTTCCTATGAATATAACTAATAACAAGAAACATCTAACGATGGATGACCAATTTTTTAGTATTGTCATTTCGGCAAATGGAGAAAACAAACAAGAAAAAAGATTAAAAATGATGATGCTCATGTTTGGGATTAAGATAAGTAGGCCTAACTCCGAGCATATCCTCTGCCTCTTTTGCAAAGAGTATATTCCTCCTTCCTCAAAAAACATTTCGTTAATGATATGATATTTTGTACCCTCAAAGGCCAATTCCACGGTTATGACTTCCCATGCATCTTGGGCTCGAGATTACCCATGCATGCAAACTCTCCCATCCCCTAAATTATAGTAATTAAAAAATAAAATAAAATAAATATAAAAAAACCTTCTTGAGCAATATTGCAGAACATGCACAACATGTGTGAGAGTGGTAGTAGTACATACACATGTTAAGTAGTTAAACAAGAACATTTATTATTTTACGTTATAAGATGAGATTCGAGCGCTCAAGAGAAAAAAAACGCATACACACAACATATTTATATAACATAATAGTTAAAATGTCATTGATTCAACAGTTAAAGTGAAGAAATGCTTACAGGCAATTTACATGTTTTCTCCTAATATTAAAATATTGAATATTTTGCATTAGAGTAAAGCAACTGACATTTAAATATGAATCCGAATTAACTAATCCTACATTTAAATATGAATCTATTCAATTAATGGCCATTGGTCACGATAATAAGTTGTTCCATTCACTATACCATATATAATAACAGATTTCCACTCAGAATCCTATGTTTTGTCGGTTCCTCTGCGAAAGCATAAAAAAAAGAGAGAAGTTACAGGGAAAATGAGCGTTTGGCCGATTCCCACAAATCATGTTTATTAAATTTTTATTTATATTTAAATGTTATAATTATTACAACCACCGTGGTTCTGTTGTTAAGGACAAATTTTAGAACACGGCATATTATATGTTCGATTTCTAGACATGATGGTTAAAAGAAGTTTAAAATGTTTCTGTGTGTCTTTTCGATTACAAAAAGATAAACTTTCGTGACAAATCCATCGGTTAGTCATTTTCCAAAAAAAGAAATATTATATTTATACACACAGTGAGTAATGAGGCGCATCTCTCTCGTGTGTCGCCTGCAAATTGAATATTCCCTCGCAATATCCACTCCTTCCTCCTCCATTTCCTCCCTCATTTTACTCTCACTGTAGAACGAACAATTCCCACAACCCCACTCGCGCACGCGCCCGCGTGGAGCATCTGATCCGTTCGTTAACTAGTCTCCGCAGTAGGATCCACCTCTCACGACGCGCCATTCGCGCATCTATATATAGTCGCGTGCAGACGCCCATTTTATATATATACAAGAGATAAAACCTTGGTCTGAGACAGGGACAAGCAAACCAATTGTTCCTCACTCCTATCTATCTATATCTCTCCGTCCCTGTTCTTCCCGCTTCCGGATTCGTATTTGGATTTCATTTCCTGGAAAAGATTGGGAATTTGAAACGCGTGAATCGATTTCTGAATTGGGGTTCTTTCGGATTTTGATTTGGTGCCGAAATGAGGCTGAACGGCGAGCTTCCTCCGTGCTACGACGGAAGAGCGGAGGGGGAGGAGAATGGAGAAAATGAGAGAGAATTGAATTCGATCGTCAGCGTTGGGATTTCTCAGCCGCCGAAACTTGTCGTTGGGTACGCCTTGACCTCCAAGAAGAAGAAGAGCTTCTTGCAGCCCAAACTCGTTGTCTTGGCTAGGTATGTTGTATAAAAACCCACCAATCTTTTTACCATTTGCACACACTACACATTCTTATCATGTGTTTGCATATATATATATATGTGTGTGTGTGTGTGTGTGTGTGTGTGTGTGTGTGTGTGTAACTATATATTTGTATGTATGTGAAATTTTGAAGCTTTGTGAGGTTTTGTTGTGTAGTTTCCTTATGTGTGCGTATCTCTTGTTTTCTAGTTTCAGTTTGCATGTCTTTGATTTTATGAGCATAAAAGAAGAAACAAAGGAAAAAGAAAGTGGCTTTTTTTGGGTTGCAGTGGGTGTGTGATTGGAGGGGGATATGGATGTTTTTGTCTATATTGTTTGAAGCTTTGGCAATATTGATCAAGGGAAAAGTGTGTTGCTTGGCTTTTCCATCCAAGCTTCTTCTCCAGTGGGTTTTGGAATCTTGGTGTTTGGTGTTTCTGACTGAGACAAATGGGGGGAATATTCCATCACATATACCATTTTGGGGGTTAAGAGGAACCCAAAGTCAATTCTTGGTGCTTGCTTCTGTTTTCCAAAAACTTCTAAAAACAATAATGATTTTCCCACTTCTGTCTTACTTAGAGTACTTATTTACAATCTTGTCCTTCATCCCTACGTAATTGCACATATGAATTTGGGACTAAGTGGGGTGGACAATTTGCCCCTTCTTTTAGGTGCCTTTACATTTGTAGTTGAATGATTTGAATGAATCTTTTGCTACTTACCTGTTTGTGTAGCAGATGAGTTGCACATAAACAGGTTTGCTACTGTGCAGATTGTTACTTGTGCTCGAGAGTCAGACTCTTGACGAGTCGCAGCCATAAGCTTGACTTGCTATTTGTACATTTTCAAACCTTGTATAAAGTATAGGACTGCAAAGATATTACCTACGTCCTTCAGTTTCGTGATAAATTTGTCTTAAAAGAGTTTTGAGTTTTAACTCATAATTTGAGCATCGTAATTGAAAGGATTTTCTAGCTGCCTCCTGCCCTTTCACATCTTTTGAATGGTTCTTCGGTGTGTTGGTTTTTTTTATTTTATTTTGTCATTATTATAATTTTTACGCTGCTGAACCCAAGTTTTGAAACTGGTGCAAACTGATTGGACACTCGATTTAGTAAAACATTTCTGGGGTGCAGGAATAAGGGGATCTTCTTCATTGCAATTGATGTAAACAAGCCACTTTCAGATCAAGGACCCTTTGATGTTGTTTTGCATAAGGTGAGTGCTCATATGTTCTTTTAGACCTTTTCGTTCTCACCTGTGACAGTTTTTCCAATCTTAAAAGCATTTTTTCTAGTTAAAGGCTGCCTCTGGTTGTATGATTTGGACTCGTTGATCATACCATTCAATATCCCCCTCCCCTTTTGTTTTACTAATTAATTTGTTCATTGTATTTTGACAAGTATATACCATATTTAATATATCTAACAAAACTTTGTTCCTTCCAGTTGTCGGGAAAAGAGTGGTCCGAGGTTATTGAGGTTTGTCCATACAAATTCCAAGATGCTTTCTTGTCTTCCTTCTCCTTTGTCGTGTATTGGAAATGAACTTGTGGTGCTGTATGTACTTATGAATGATATAAAAGCTTGCTTTGTGTTAATGCTGGAATATTGTTTGTGAGATGGTTTAAAAGATGTATTGAATGCAGTGAGTTGGAGACTAGGAACTCCATTGTTGTTTAAAATGCAGGTTCTGGTTAAAATTTGTAAATCCTTGGGCCAAGTACAACATACCAGTTTTCTTTTGGTCTATCCTTTATTCATGAAAAGTCAATCTCATCTTCCCCATTAAACCACCTGAGCAGAGTCCTGGGAGTTTATCTGTCTCTTGTTGGTGTTTACTTTCCCAGCCTTTCCTTTGTAGGATTACAGACAAAAACATCCAGAAGTAACTGTTCTTGATCCCCCAAATTCAGTAGAACATCTATACAACCGCCAGTCCATGCTTCAGGAAGTGGCTGATCTAAACTTGTCTGACTGCTATGGTATTTTTTTCTCCTTTACTCTTTATGAAAACTGTGGATTGTATACAGGAAAGGTTGTGGTTAGATTTTCTGACCAGTTTTCATTTTGGTTCCTATAGGCACGGTTGGTGTTCCAAAGCAGTTGATTGTCACTAAAGATCCAACATCTATTCCAAATGAAGTTGATAAAGCTGGGCTAAAGTTGCCTCTGGGTACAGTTACTTTATCTTTCTTCTTGTGTGTTTTGGGCGTGTTTTCAGGGGCACTGGTTTTTTCTTTTAGTGTTAGGACACAGTTTCCTCCTCTGAATGAAACCGATTATGGCATCTACATACCAACGTGATGGTTGCACAAGGATTTATTGATATAGCCTAGAGATCCTCTGGATTTCCATGGCTAACGTTTTCATGGTATGTATAGTCATAATGATTGGCAGGAGGCAGGCTTCTTTGAACAATTTGGTAGGGGAGCTTTGTTGTCAGCTATTGCAGACTGATGAATCCTGACTTGGATACTTCAACTATTGACCTCTGTTTATTTTGTATTTCAGTTGTCAAACCACTGGTTGTGGATGGTAGTGCCAAGTCACATGAACTATTTCTTGCTTATGACAAATGCTCCCTCTCAGAACTCGAACCTCCCTTGGTCCTGCAGGAGTTTGTAAATCATGGTATAATGTGGCAACTGGTACTTGATTACTATATCTTTTTCAACCACGTTGTAGTTCTAATTATACTTTTTCTACCTCGTGTTTGCCGCATTGTAGGTGGTGTTCTCTTTAAAGTTTATATCGTTGGGGAAGCCATAAAGGTTGTAAGGCGTTTCTCTCTTCCAAATATCAGTAAACGTGAACTAGAAAAGCTTGCTGGTGTCTTCCGTTTCCCAAGGGTTTCATGTGCTGCGGCTTCAGCAGACGATGCAGACCTTGACCCTAGTGTTGCTGGTAAAATCCTTTAAAAATGTTTAATATATTGGTTGTTATAATAAAAAGATTTTTCCCTCTTTTCTTCAAACTTGTATGATTTTCCTTGCTGTTTGCAAAATGCTGTTTCAATGATACATTGCTAAAACTACCTTATTGGTCCTTGGGCCCCTTACTTAAAAATGGCATTATTGTTGCAGAACTTCCTCAACGGCCTTTGCTAGATAACCTTGCAAGGGAGCTCCGCCAACGATTGGTAACCTCTCTCTCTCTCTCTCTCTCTCTCTCTCTCTCTCTCTCTCTCTCTAGTTGTGCAATGGTAGAAGTTAACACTCGACTTTTTCTAGGGCCTTCGGCTATTCAATGTTGATATGATTCGAGAGTATGGGACAAAGGATGTTTTTTATGTCATTGACATCAACTACTTTCCAGGCAAGTACAGTTTGTTTGCATTTACTCTACATCCTCGCAAATATCTGTATCACGTCACTTAATCTACTGTATGTTGACAGATGCAAAGTTTCCATGGTGTGTATTGAATGTTTTGAACGAATTACAGGTTACGGCAAAATGCCAGACTACGAGCACATATTTACAGATTTCCTACTAAGCCTTGTGCAGAGCAAGCATAAGAAAAGACTCACTACGTAACCAGTGCAAGTACCCACTGTATATGATGTTTCGCGCAGACAGATGTAGGCCTCCTCGGAATTTGGGGAACATTCTCATCTTGCTTTGGCGTCTTTAATCACCGATTGGTACGAAATGCTCCTTGCTCAAGTAACACTCGCCTGTACAGAAGGTTCTTGCTGTCCGAGGCCTATAAATACTTGTGATATTTTATGTTGTTGCTGGGCTTAGAAGTAGCAAATGTCCCTCCTGTACGTGTGAAGGATTCAGCCCGGCGACACCGCCCCCTCTACCGGAACTGTCTGTGTTATAAAGCAAGTTCAATAACAGACGAATAAGAGAAGCTGCGTTGTCATCTCTCCTACTCTTCGTCCGAAAATTTACTTTCCGATTCGAGTCAATTGATTAGATGTTTTCTCATCTCATTGCCCCTCTTCCGACTCCCACTTCTCTGTCAGTAGGTTTCTTACATGAATTTTGATAGAAACTGCTGCTCGGTATACATTACTTGTACTTTACTGATTGATTTTTGAAGTGGAAAAGAATTGGAAATTTGATTAACATGATAGAAATCAGTCTCAATTTACGAAAATTAAATATTGGCTACATAACGATCAGATGTAGGTGATATAGTGAAAATTTGATCGTCATTTTAGCAATTGAGATTAATTTATTTCTAGCTAACTTGGAGTTCACCACCACAAGAAATTAACGGTTGCATAAATGTAGGGATGCAACTTGGGTTGGGCCAATCCGAACCCGTCCACGTCCAACCAAACTTTAAACCCGAACAAGTGGGTTTTTTTTAGTTATAACCCGTCCGAACCCAACCCAATTTCAACCCGTTCATTGATTAGGTTGAGTTGGGTTGATCATTTGCTTGTCCATCCCCAACCCAACCCAAATAACCAACCCCAATCTAACCAGATTGTAACCCATATCAATTAATGCTCATACTACACCCAAGTGAGCCAAGTCCAAAAACCAACACACTTTCTAATATTTTTTTAATAAATTACCCTTTATAATTACTTAAGCTTTTAAGGAATAAGAGGTTTTGATTAGTCAACTCATATTTGTAGTCTCTAAATCCTAAAGCCTTATAGTAAATGGATTTATGAAACTAAAGTTGGCTAGCTTTGATGCTATTGGCTTAATTTTTTTAAGAATTCTTGGAAAATAAGTTGTTACAAGATTAAACTTGAAAAAGTTAGGCAACCCGAATCTAACCCAAGTAAATCCTAACCTAATTAAACCCGAGCCCAAATAAACCCAAATGAAACTTAACCCAAACATGAGCTTGAATTGTAAAAGTTAGGTTAGGATTGGGTTGACCTTCCAACCCGCCCAACGCGCTCGAGTTGCACCCCTACATAACTAGGTCAACTTACGGAATACAAGTAAGAATCTACAACGCACTAAAATGCCCTTGTTGACGATCATTTACTCCAACAACATTTAGGGTTTCACGAACAAAGAAATATCTCACATTGGGTAAATTCTTAACCTTTCCTCCTTGTTGACGATCAAGTGGGTTAAAGTCTCAAATGTTTTTTTTCGGGTATTAATTAGGTTTGATTTGGTAACCAAATCGTTTTTTTGTTTTGCGTACGTTTGATCACAATACCTGTGCCCAGGGTTTAGATGCTTTGCGAAATTTGTGGAACATGTAAAACCGTGGCTGAAGACGGGGGAAGAAACTGTGTTAACCCTGCCGGAGCCACCCATGTCGTTTTGTGATTTCCCCGTCATGTGAGAGGTTTTCTCTCCCTGCTGTGAGAGTCTCTTCTTACTTTTCCGTTACCCCATCCGCAGCCTGCCCTAGCTAGCTTCCTTTTCTTTTTTCAGTTTCTATTTTTCCTGCTTCTTCCGCTTCGATCTGCCATTTCCTCCAAAAATCAAATTTCTCAGCCATCACTTCCGATCTCCCTTTCCCGTCCCCTTTTTTCTTTTCCCACCATCCATCTCCATGATTTTCTTCCATCCTTTTCCTACCCTTCCCACCTGGTTGTGCCGATCTTAACATCGGAGTTGTCTTCTCCTTCACTCGTGCGATTTTGGTTAGCTGGAGGTGTCGGGTTGAAGTTTTGGTATGCGGCGGTTTCTCGACAGCGCGTCGGTGGCGGCAATGGTTGCAGGAATGTAGGGTTTTCTGTTTGGTTTGTCTGTTTCTGAGCTCAAAACTGTTGGTTTGGAGTCCGTTTTTGCTTTGTGATTATCTTGTAACTGGGCACTCTTGTGTATTTTTCTCTTTGTACTTTGCTGGCCTTTGCCCTGGAACCCATCGATAAGAATAAAATAAGTTAATGGCCCAACCTACCAAATTGATATTACTAGGAGTCTCGTGAGGATAAAATAAAAAGTAAAGTGAACAGTACCATTAGCTTTTCGTTAAAACTTCCTTAATCCAATGGTAGAGGAGAAAGTACAACCACCAAAAAACAAAATAATCACCTACCATTGGACTAAAATCAAATGACGAATGGCGGGAGACTACAATTTTCTTGGTCTTGGAGTCTAGGAGAACATGACTCATCACTAAGATGCAATAACATCAAACAAATCGAGTCTCGCACTTGAAAACATTTGCACTTAATAATTTATTATTTACACAAACAACATATCCACCAGCCACCTTATACCACTGGTTGGCACATATTCTACAAGAAACACAGCATATTCCTAAGCAGGCCACGCTGTGGCCCACGCGGTATGTACAAAGAATATATACGTATACACATTATGTACAGCTGACCGCTGCTTACCAAAACGGACACCACCTGCAAGAAGCACAAGAAACGTCGTTAGACAAACGGACTTTCAGCATGACTTCCGCATCTAGATTGATTGGTTTTCAACTTTTCATCCGTTATGTAATAATTTAGCCATTCACTCGCCAAATGCTGATCGAGCGACAACGAGTGTCGGCATTAGGTGGCTCTGATCCGACCAAATTGGTGTGTCAGATGCGACATTTAGGGCATCGAGATCCCAAACCAATCATAGGTTGTCTAAAACCAATAAACTTCATACGTCAAAGCCCCATTCATGTCGGACAAGAAAGGATTGAATGAATACACATGCACACGTGTTTTAATTATTCTAAATCTATGTTTAAAGAAACTGGAGATGAGAGTAAAATCGGGAAACATCTTACCCGACATAATTTTGGCATAAATTTTCGTGAGATGATGCTTGGATAATCAACTTTTGAACTTGCAGCTTAACAGATAAACCATGTTCAACTTCTCGACTCTCTCCAGAAATCAGCGTGCTGTGGTCAATTGCATGAATAGAACTGGAAGCTACAGTGGAGGCAGTAGAAAAGTCACGTCCAGTAAGTTTATTACTCATCCGAGCCATGACAACCACAGCACGCTCATTCAAGACCTCATTAGCATCACCCAGTTGATTGACAGCCTGCACGGAAAACAATATAATGCGCATAACCAAAAGCATCATTTTGAAGCATCCCAAGCTGAATTTCTGAAATACCTGAAGAAGTTCCCTTTCACGAGCACCTCGTTGAGGGTGGGGAAGCTCTTTATTTTGAGCAGGTTCTTCAGCATCCACAACAGGAGTAACATTATTATTTCCAAGCGTTGACATTTGAGGAACTTCATTGAAGTTGAAGAGACGCCAATTGATGAGAGGATCGTGGACAAAGGCCTGAAAACAGGTAAAACTAAATATTAGCTTCCTTACTAAAGGATTCAAAGGAGAAACAATTTACTGTTGTTCGTTCAATAGGGCAGCATCATCGGTATTAACAAAACCACACCCATCCACAATTCCACCCCATTACTTTGAAATTTTAGATTACTATTGCTTGCTGTGAATGGATGCTTTTCAATGGCATTATATGAAGACCCAGCTATGGGTTATCTTGACCTGGATGTTATCACCTATATTGCTGTAAATAATAGTTCATATAACTCTTTGATCAATTTTCCTTGCAGGTTTATTCAGAAAATGGCCGATTATTATCCTAGTCGAATCGGTGACAAGTAAAATGCTTCAGAATGAATTTACCCTAAATCCTAATAAAATAATATACATATATATATATGAATATATACATATACATATACATACATATATATATATATATAAAGGCTTAATGAACACAACAATCTTGTCACCATACCTCCATCATTGCCATAACGCTATCTTTATGTGTTCGTAGAACTTGCATCACATTTTGACAAGTTGAACGGAAGTTGCCCTCTATACCACTAACTTCCATTGCTTTCACAAGCATTCTAGTCAACCGAAAGGGGACCTGAAAATACATAAATATTTATAGTGATTATATATGGAACTGTGTTTTAAACATTAACTAAAGGCACATTGCAATTTAGTGTCATGCCTTCTCAGGAAACTTTTCCCGGTTCATAGAGGCCTCAAAGCAGTCCCCAAAATCAATGTGCAAGATCTTCCCACTGTAAGCAACAGAATATGAGATGCTCCAAATTTAACAAGGGAATATCAGATCCAAGTTACCAATCCACTACTAGTTGGTCCAAATTTCATTCATCAACAGTTACATACCTATAGCGGTTCAGCATAAGATTGCTTGGGTGGCGATCACCTAAGCCAAGAAGGTACCCAACCTGATATAAAATTGAGTTAGTCCATAATTTCACAAGCAGAAACATGTGAGATGTTTAATGGCCACATTATGGTTATCCACCACCCCACAAATCCCATAAGTCAAATCCGTTCATTTTCATAGGTACCCATGAAAGGATCATCCATAGAAATTTTTTCCAAATTGGAATAGTATCATTTAATTATCATCTTTATCATTTTTATGTTTATTGAAAACATAGGTGTTATGTATTTAATATTTATTCGGAAACAACTAGACCTTTGGCAGGGATGATCTTTGAAAGATACCTAAAGATATGGTTGGAATCACCATATCACTTGGCAGTTGGTACCACAATGTGGTCCTAACTTCTCTTAAAATGAGGGCATTCTCATTCGGCAATGTAGTCTTAAACTTTTCTTAAAATCAGCGCATTCTCATTCTCATTTACATACGTATGCATGAATACTACAACGAAAAACACATATATGCTCGTGTGTGTGTGTGTCCACCACGTGTTGCTAATAACAAATAAAACACCTACCATGCTCATGACTGCTAAACTTCTCGTATAGTTTGTCCTCCTCTCCAGCCATACCTCAGAAGTGCGACTTTTCAGCCAAAGAACCTATCAAAAGCAGCTCTATACACCTTGAGAAAAGGCACTCAAAGCAACCAATAAATACATGAAGAATATGCAGTTGGTAAGAACCATACCCTTGCAAGGTCATTTCCCTCTGTATTTTGCAGGGCATACTCAAATACTTCCACTTTAGCTATGAGTGGCAAATGATCATAATCCGGAGCAAAACTTAGCATATACTTGTGTTCTTGATTTAGAGTGATCTGAAACCAAGAAAGCATTTATAACACTCCGATAAATACAACTACACCAGTCTAGGAACACACCCCTTTACATACACAGACAATGCAAGCCTATGCTAACACTCTCTCTTAATGTAAGGCTGGAGA